TTTTGAAGTCCATATGACGATGAAGAATATGAGAAGAGCGGTTCTCGTTCAGTTCGAGTTTTTTCGTCGTCTTTCGAAATTTTTTGGGATCTCGAAATGGATAGGAATTCAATCACCATATTGAGAATACGGAGAAAGAAATTTTCATGAAAATTACTCCTGATGTTTGAAGCAAAAAATCTTGAAATTTCTACCGACAATTATAATTCAGTTGATTCCTGGAATATTTTACGAAATGGCAGTTTTGAAGTCCATATGACGATGAAAAATATGAGAAAAGCGGTTCTCGTTCAGTTCGAGTTTTTTCGTCGTCTTTCGAAATTTTTTGGGATCACGAAATGGATAGGAATTCAATCACCATATTGAGAATACGGAGAAAGAAATTTTCATGAAAATTACTCCTGATGTTTGACGCAAAAAATCTTGAAATTTCTATCGACAATATAATTCAGTTGATTCAATTAAATGGAATATTTAACGAAATGGCAGTTTTGAAGTCCACATGACGATGAAAAATATGAGGGAAGCGATTCTCATTTAGTTTGAGTTTTTTCGTCGTTTTTTGAATTTTTTTGGAAGCTCAAAATGGATAGGAATTCAACCTCCATATTGAGAATATGTAGGAATAAATTTTTATGAAAATTATTTTTGGCCAGACATGGGCATAATTATAAATTTCAAATCAAGTTAAATTTTGAACTAGTCAATTGGTTAATACTGTGCAACAATTTTTAAATTATTAAAATAATCATCAATTGAATATTCAAATTTCAAATTATTTTATCAATCAATAATTGAGTTCAGAAGACAATTATTTAATTCACAGTCAGTTGAAAATTTAGATTATCAATTATTTTATTATTCTTCAAATTTCAAGGACTCTCATTTCGTTGATTTGTAAAAATAGTTTCCGTTTGCTCATCTTGTGGAAATTGGGACGAATCGGATGAATATACTATTAATGTTTTATTCAATTGGAATGAATTTTAAATTAAATAAAACTCATGTTTAATTAAAAACTCAAGTGAATTGTGGAATTTCCGTCTCATTTCTCTCCAGAACTATTCGAATTCAATTGAATCCCACCTGAAATTTTAAATTTTATGCGCTCTTCCCCCCTAAGTCGAGCCCAATGTCACTCCTTTGAAAATTCCTATTAAACTATTGATGAAATTCAAATTTTTTTAGCAGCAAGAAGACGAAAATGCCCCAATTTACAAAGGTGATTTACAAATCACCTTAAATTTTCAATTATGATATTTCCACAGACGAAACTCCATGAAATTCCAGTAGAGCTGTCACGTGATAGAAATTCAAAGAAGTCTACCCAGAATTTCAGCTTTAAATTTGCAACATTGAATCTCGCTGTTAACAATTTTTGGCTGAAATATCCGATCAACTTTTTGAAAAAATGTATCATTATAATCCGATTTGAATTAATTAAAAATCCAGAATTTTATGGAAAAATCAATTGATACTGTGAATTTCCGTTCAATTATCCCATGAGAATGCAAAAAAATCAGGAAAATTCATCAGAATACTTTTTCAAATTTTCACATGAGTGAAAATCCAAGTCAGTTATAAAGATCTCGTCTTCCTGTATCTAAAAAATATTGAATTTCATCGAATTTCCATTGAAATCTGCAATCCCATAATTTTTCCTGCTAAATTGAATTCAGAATTGCATGTTCAAATATACAAAATTCCCTGAAATTTCCCCTTTTCATTTCGCCTCGACTTATTAAAACAACCAAATCCCGGGTTTAAAAATCAATAGATCAAAATTTCCGCCAGCCCATTAAATTAGTTCCGCCCTGTAATCCCAACCACAAATGTTATCAAACCCATAGATGTATTAGTACGCAATTTATACAGTAGTAATAGTAAACATCGAGTGACCAAAGCAATGAGACAGACAGTCAGTCAGACAGAATGCCCACAGTGGTTCGAGTGCACCTGCGGTGCAACTCAGGGGCGGCATGCAATGGCTGTACTGTAGTCCCATAGTTTCGGTTGTAGCGTGTAATCCTCGCGGACACCGCAAACATGTAATTAACACTTGCTCTGATCGTCTCTGTCGGCTGCACAACGTGTACACTAGCCATCTTGCTTGTGAGTCCATGCCGCCTCATCCACACACATACAGACCCCGGGAGTGAGGCCATCAACACCACACACCACTACCCACCACTATCACCAGTGAATGTGTTCGACCGCGGGCACAAACTCGCTGGCTCACGCGTCCCCCCGCCCCCCAGTCATTCGAGATCATGTCGACTATAGTGTTCGAGGATGTCTTGCCGCGTGTGGAACCCATGTCGCTTTCCTCTGAACGGAATACATAAGTGTGGTTGAGAGCAACAAGGATGAAGCCATAGTTGTACTCATCTTTTATGTCTTCCATGAATTGTTTTTTTCTTTATTTATTTTTCAACCCTCATGCGCTTATGCCTCGGCTGCGCTCGAATTAACCGTTTGACACGTGTACACACGAACGCGTGGATTGTTTACCTTTGTCACTCTTAACTCTACTTCTGTAAATATTGACGGGGGGAATTATTCGCGGGGCGAAGCCCTCGGGGGGAAGGGGGGCGGCGGGTAGTTTGAAGGGTGATGGAAGGATTCTTTGTGGTCAATTAAACTATACTGTTAAGAGTTGTTTCGTGCTGACCTTCACTGTTCCCAGTCCCGGGATTGGTACGGGGATCGGGCCCTTTCCCGTACTGGCAAAAGTGAAAGTCACTAGGGAATAATGTCGTTCACGGCTAGCGCCGTGGGGGTTTTTTGCTCGCGTGGTTGGCCAGCCCTTGCCTTCGGCTCGGACGCCAACTCCACGCGAGTAAAAAACCCCATCGCACACTGATAGGAGTAGTTATTGTTAACAAATGGATTTGGTTGAAGGCTAGGGTCTATTTGGTCTCACCAAATGCTCATTCGTTAATAGTTAATAAATGCGTATTTGAGAAGTCTTGTTTGACTCGAATTTCACCTTTGAAGTGAACCATTCGTTAATAATTAACGAATCTCGTTTGGAATAAATGAATCATTCTATTAGTGCACTCGCCCTGAGGTTATACTATTGTCTGAATTTTGCGGTACACTTTTTAGAAATTTTTAGCGAATTTCATTTTCACTGAAATTTAAAGCAATTTCGTCATTGAAAATTCAGAATTTTGGAGAAAAATCAAAGAGAACTGGAATTTTCAGTTCCATTTCTGCCTAAAAATGAATGGAAAGCCAGAAAATTCAGGTAAATATATTCTTGAATTTTCAAGATAGTGACATTGAATGCGATTTACTGATAATTCAATGTAATTTGGTACTTAATATTCATATCAAATTGGAAATTTGAATAAATTCAGGAATTTTTGTCATTGTGCTGCGTAAAATTCTGGAATTTTACTGAACCTTCAGTGAAACCTGAAATTTCATGATTTTTTCCCCCTAAATCGCATTCAGTGTCACTGCCCGGAAAATTAGTAATCAACTGTCCATGAAATTTTATTTTATTTTTTCTAAGAATGTAACTATTATTTGGACATTTGAAGATCAGTTATTATTAGTTGGTATTTAGTTAGTACTGTGGGCTAGTTAGAAAATGACAGAAATTCGATTGTATTTTTGTGGAGAGTTACATTGAGTTTGATTTAGGGGGGAAACAGTGATCGATATCAATCACTGGATTATTAATATTGAGAGAAATTGTACCTCACAATAATTAAGGTTTACTTATCTCCATTAAAATCATAAAATAATTGATAATATGGGATTATCAATTGATTGATAGAATAATAAAGAATTTGAATATTTCATCTGTAGAGAATGAGGGATAATGTAGATGATGATTAGTTTAATAATTAGAAAATTAATGAGTATTATGAACTAATTGACTTTATTTAAAATTTATGATTATGCCGATGTCTGGGGGAAAATTTAGTGAAATTTTAGATTTCAGGAGAAATTCAATCAACTAGAGGTTTTCAATAACTAATTTGCTTTTTTTGTTTGGAAATACCCACCTCAAGAAGTTAAAATTTAAATATACATGGATTGTGAGGGATTTTTTTTGGTTAGCTTTGATTTATGCAGATGGAAATAAACGGATAGCCCTTGACGAGGAGTAGATTTACGACTCGAAACGTTGGTAAAGAGAAGAAATTGAGTATTTTCCGTGGTTTTGTAAGTTTGAAATCGCCGTGAACCGCGAAGTGGTCTGCAGGAGTAAGAATAGTGGTTGGAATAATAATTTCGTTGAGAATTCCTCAACTGACATGAATTTTCAATCGAAATATGAATATTTGCATTTATAGTGTATTTTTTCGAAAATGCGGCTTTTGGCTGAATCCCGTTCCAGTAATGGTTGAGAAGCAATTTGATTTTGCATTTATCCTAGTTTACTAATTCACGACAGAAATTACGTTGAATGTTCAATTGTTTAAACATAGATTCATTTGAATTCTCCTGATTTGTATAATCTTTTATTGAACAATTGAATTGAAATTCACAGCTTCCATTGATTTATCCACAAAATTTTGGAGTTCTCAATGACAAAATTCCATCGGAATTATAATATTAAAACGCGTGGGTATTAAAGGAAAGCCTTTATCAATGTATTCTAAAGGAATACATTAATGTATTCTAAAAGAGACAATAAATATTCATAACAACACGATAGAAATTTTCAAGAAGTGTCCCGCAAATTTCAGAAAAAACCTTATTATTTACACTTAACTGAAAGTTTTATTGCGACGACTCATTATTTGTTAACTATTAATGAACAGTGAAGTTGTCCCAACTCTTTTCTGTCAACAAAAGCATTTCTTAACTTGAAAAAATATCCATCTGGTAATTTTCAACCCGAACATTTGTTCATAGTTATAAAACCTTATTGTTACCAGTGAATGCAGCTGCAGAAATTCGTATTTCTTCAATCGTTGGGCGATAGAGGTTTTATTGATTGCATATGGATCATGTTCATTGGGTTTATTTTCTGCTTCTAGGGACCACCGCAACCAGGTCAACCATTCAAATTCACGGTGGGTGAATCGTGTGACAGGATTAAGGAGGAATTCAATTTCCTGCAAGCGCAGTATCACAAGTGAGTTTATTTTCAAGAGTTACAAGGCTCAGGTGATTACATTATTGTCTTGAGATGATTGCTCGGTTGTTGAGGAAATTGCACGAAATTATACGAAAATCTCTGGCTTGATCATTTTTTCTTGTGTTTTCCTTGATGGCAGAGATTCTTCGAATTGTCCTTTGATGCTGGATTTTTTTTCGAATCCTTCAGCTCATGAGACCCTTTTAATTGCTCAGATCCACGTGGACACTCGACATTGAATATTAGTCTTATAATTACTTGCATCAATTATAAGACTAATATTCACTGTAATTAAAAACTTTGACAATCTATTTGAGATCTCGTGACATACCATTTAAGAAATAGGAATATATCAATAGCGAAGTGGTAAAACGATACAAGTCATTTTTGAGTATTGACCAATTTTCAATGAATATCTCGGAATCTAAGGGAGATAGCAAAATTTTTGTTATAACCTCTTTTGTAGAGCCAATTGAGTGCTACAACAAATGTCATTACGAAAATTTCACTATCTCCCTTAGATTCGGAAATATTCCACAAAAATTCAACTGGGAGATGAGTCGACTCAAACCGTTTTACCATTTCGCTACTGATATAAATCCATATGATATTTGCAACGTTATTCTCATCTATTACAACTCAATTACTTGATGAGCTCTGGAAAAATCTGCAAAACACCAAAATTTCCGAAAAAAACAGAAAGTCCTAGCCTCTGCAATCTTGATATTCATATTTCTATTTTTTAATTTGTATTCAACAGATTTTAAATAGATAATTAGAATTCTCAGAACTTCTGAAATGCTTTATGGACAATAAAAATGCACATCTTAAGCAGAGTGTTCATGCTGAATTAATAAAACACTCAAAAAATAAGAATATAAAGATACAGATGACATTTGCAAGTCTATTTTCTTATATTATGAGATAAATTCATTGATTTTCTCTATGAAAATTTATAAAACACTAACATTCCAGCAAAAACAGAGAATGACATGTTTTGTGACACGAAAGAAAATCTATTCTATCATTTCCTCTCGAGATTTCCGTATTTTTAATTCAATAAATCATCAGAGTTTTTAGAATTTCTTAAATATTTTATTCTTCCAACTCACCTCTTTTTATTTCTATTATATATAGACTGGAATGCTCGTCTGAAAAAAATTATTCCTCCAACCGATGAATTCGCGTAATGATAATATCGGAAAAAAATTTTGTTCCAGTATGAAGCTGGAATGCGAGAAGCTGGCGACAGAGAAGATAGAAATCCAGAGACACTACGTGATGGTAAGAATCCTATCATATTCACGTACCCATTGAAATACCACCCGATGGTTTATGCATGATTTAATAATATCATTGAAAATCATTTTTCAGTCCAACCCGCATTATTCATTCAGAATAAAAATTACAATGATAAAACGTACAGCGGAGAGAATTTAATACTCGCTGAGAATATTAAATCGCTCCGAGAACTCGAATTCAATTATACAATGTATTGTAGCCATTTAGAATCACATTCGTCGCTGTACAAATTCACCGAACATCTGCGCGTGACGACGTTATGATTCACGCGTTATGTTATTACGTTATTTTCCCCACGTGTCTAGATATAAGTATTGTCCAATGAATTTATATTTGAAGTGAATAGCCCCGTGCTCGGCTAGCTGAGGTGCGCAGTGAGTTACAAATCTGAGTCCATGCACAGGGAAAAAAGGTGGAGAAAATGGGCAACAGTTGAGGCTTCGTATAAGATACCTCTCTATAAGATACCTTGCGCTCCGAGCGCTCGAGGTCTACCCCCACTCTCGGCACTTTTATCGCCTCCCGAATGTTTATGTTCCGTGGGCTTCTTATAAGATACCTATGGCCCCGGTCATTTTTCAACGGGAAGAGAGTAGTTATAAGAATCAAACGGTGTTAAGGGTCAAACGGGAGGGACGAACGAAGTGATCATGAGGGTCTAATGACCTTAAGGGGGGGGGGTCACACCACTTTTTTCAAGTAATGGAAATATACATAGATTTTTTTTTCACTTTTCCCATCGAAAAATCGTAATTTTTCGTCTGATTATTCTCGAGTCCACCAACAATCCCCCGACATCAGCTGCCATTCTATCACGCAGGGTTATGTTTAGAGAGAAAAGGGAACGCGGGCGATACAAATTCAAAACATTAAACACATATAGATTGATTAGTTATCGATATTCATTCAGTAAAAATGAAAATTTCATTGAATTCGAGCGCAACGAGCGAGGTATCTTATTTGAAACCCGCTGATCCCTATTTTTCTCCTCTCTATGGGTGCGCGTAGTGGGGGCATAGGGATTCCCGGAATTTCACTCTCCTACTGTCCCTAATGTATCTTATATGAAGCCTCTACTGTATCTCGAAAGAATTAAAGATCATTCTATGAAACATGAATAAACGAATTATAATTGTCAAAATAATTTAGCGCAGACAAAAAATAGAATAATTTTATTTTCTTAATTTTGAGTCACCTAAGGTTTTCTTCGAAGAAAGTTGATTACAATTAACGGCTAGAATTAATTATGAGATTATCTCACATTTTTTATGTTAAAGATAGGAGAATCTGAATGCAATATAGTGAAAATGATGATCGAGTTTTTCACCTTGAACCAATAATATTAATATCCAACTACAAAATTTCTGATGTGAATAAAAAGAAGCTGTAACTCAATATTTCAAATAAAGTTTTAATTTTTAATTTGGTGCTGATAACACGAAATGACAGTATTCTCAGCAAGGAATTAAATTGCTGAGATGAACAACAGATTAATTGAATTACCGAAACTCTAAAGTGTGTTCTAGAGGGAATTGAATTGCAATTATAATTAAAATCTTAATTAGTTCCCATAAGAACTAGAACATGAGCAAATCATTTATTTAATCATTGGATCATTTATTCATTGGCAAATTCAAGGATTCATAAAAAAATGACTCTTCGGAATTGATTCACTTGAAGACTAAAGAATTCCGTAGATAATTCCTTGCAGGTGCTTTGCAGTAATGGGGGAAAATTTTTTTCCTTCAATTATGCACGACCATCCCCTGTCATCTGTCCTCATGCGCCCCCTTGTGTTTCTGGTTGTGCTGGTGGTGGCATTAGCCGAGTAACTCACTTACTGCGCAATTAATTCGCCTGGGGTAATTACCAAGCTAATGGCTCGTAAAATTAAGAACTTGTAAGCCCCGTGCTTGTATATAACGCTTGGAGGATATTACTACCTCCTTCTCGGTATTTCTCCCCTCTTCTCAAACTCATCCACTTCCGTGTTAGTTTATATCCGTGTGGTATACGTGGATGGATGGCTTCTTGATTACAATGATTATGTTTGAATAATAGTGGGTTGCTCGGAGCGACAATTCTCCTCGCGTGACTCGGCCAGGTTAAGACTTTGATCTTGTCGATTTCATTAGTTGCGATTGCGGATTCAATCGCGATAACTATCGTATTTGTATCAAAATTGTTTGGCCGTTCAAAGAATTTCAGTTGTGAAACGGTTACTCATTCTGAACGATGGGGTGAGGGGTAAACTACACTGAGAGAACAACGACCAAGTTCTCAAACAAGTCTTACTTGCGCCAAGAAAATGGCTTTTTGGAAATTATCAAAAGAGGATTTTCTGGTGTCAAACATGCAGAGAGTGCGCCTGAATGAAAAATTTTTGTCGCAAAAATAGATTTAGTAGTTCAAAAAAAATTGCACTCCCATACGTAATTTGCTCCCGAAAAATCTTTGTTTTATGCGAAACAAGGGATAGTAGTTTTTCGTTTCGGCTGTCTAATAATCACAGACAAGAAATGAACCCTTAAATCAAACAATAATAATGATATGACAGCAATATTGTAACTTAGGGGTAAAATATTTGTTGATAAATTTTCCTCTATATGAGATATTTTCATCCTGAAAAGGCACCGTCTGGTGTGAATTATCCGCCTCTTCAGCCAAATATTTCGTTGCTGTCGAAAGCAGAACAGTTATTCAGGTTTTGAGACTTTCAAATTCGAACCAAATAAATTCTTTTTCGGCAATTTTCAATTAGCCATTTTGTTGGCTCAAACAAGACTTGTTTGACAACGGGTTTGTTTTTCTCTCAGTATAGGCTTTCATTTTTTTTTTAATCTTGCAATATACGGATTTTTCTTGACAGAGGGGAATGGGGTAAAACGGCATGTTTTGGCAGAATGAAATTGCAATTTTTTTCGTTTATTTTCATGGTCTTTTTCACCCGTCAAAACAAGATTCGACTCATTGAAATCGTATCATTCCGTCGGGAGATATGAACGATTAAACACTTTAATTTTTATTGTTGTGAATTTTATTTCAATTTTAGATGAAATTGTTCATAGCGTTTGTTATCGATGTTGGAAATTCAACAGTATTGAATTTTTTCATGTTTAAATATCATTGAATTTTCAATGACAGCTCGAATTTTTGAACCCTTTTAAAATATTGCACAATTTGTTTCAAGTAGATTTTGAAAAATCAATTTTTGGTCATTTTTATTCGTTTTTTTACATTAAAACTCTACCGACTCCCATTATTATACTCTCGAAATTATTAATTTATGTTCAAGTACTATGAAATGTCTTATAAACTTGATGTGACGCGGATAATCTAGGCTTCCAATTTAATAAATCAATTAATTTTTTTAATAAGCTGAGATATAAATGTCAACTTGTGAAAATATATCAGATTCATCGGGACAACCTTTCACATCGTTTTAAAGTTTCAAACTAGTTAAACCTTGTAACACTCATATTTTTAATTATAAAGGCGAATGAAATCAAACGGGATGTTTTTACTCATTAGTAACTTGAGAATGGCAAAGTAAAATATCAATTTTTTCTTTTATTTTCACGGTTTTTTTTCCAAGCGTCAAAACAAGATTTGACTCATTGAAATCGTATCATTCTGTCGGGAGATAGGGACGATTAAACACTTCAATTTCCAATGTTGTGAATTTTAATTCACTTTGAGATTAAATTGTTCACGAATTTTGTTATTCATCTCGAAAATTCAACCGTATTGAATTTTTTTATATTTAACAATCATTGAAATTTCAATGTCAGCTTGAATTGTTAACCTCATTGAAAATATTGAATCATTTGTTTCAATTGAATTTTGAAACATTCCTTAATTTTTCGCAATTTTTCATTCATTTCCTTTGTCATATTTCATACGAATCTAACAAGTGAAATTCCATTGAATATTCGAAAAAATTGAGTAATTAATAATTTTTTTTTTCGATTTTCCATTGATTTCGATCATCATTATAATCCCGAAATTATTGATTTCTGTTTCAGTACTACGAGATGTCTTACGGACTGAATGTTGAAATGCATAAACAGGTAAGACGATTGTACACTTAAAGAAAAACCAACGAGTTCCCAAACGAGTTGATTTTTTTTGGGCAGTATCTATTCACACGCTCCACGACGTTTTCCTGTGGATTCAAGGTAGTTTCTACCGTGGATTTATGGGAGATCGTGGATCCTCAACTTTTACTTCTCAAATTAAATCTAGACAATAAACTAGACACATCGAATCAATTGATAAGTGATATGGAGATAGTAGACTAGTAAACAATTTTCTCGAATACGAATATCAGTATAGATTAACGCAAATAAAAAATGAAATAAATAATTGACTTAACGCACATAAAAGTTGAAATGAATAGTTTTTTACATATTATGTGAACGTTTTCTTAACGATATTCATATTTGTCCAATGGGGTCCGAGTGCAGGAGTGGGGGCCGAAATTTAGTGCAAATGTTTTTAAAGATGATATCCCAACCAGGGGAGACTCCTACCAGAGTTGGCACAACTCGGCTTCAACTCGGGCCTTCAATTGAAAGCCCGAGTTGAAGACCCGGGTTTGTAGCAGAGATGTCTGACAAGATATGAATGTTTTTTTGGGCTCAAATGAAAGAGCGGGTCGAGAAATGGCGTGCTAGGGCCTCTAAAGATGGTTTTGAACCAGGGGAGACTCCTAGACCCCA